ACCATCATATTTAATTTTTGTACGCATCGAGATCTAAGAACAAGCGCACCTTTGAGCACCTTTTTCAGGCTGCGTGCGCTATTTCAACATTAATGAGTGCTCATAATCTTTTCCAGAGAACGTTCTGCAGGTGTGCAATGAGGTTGGAAACTGTTTTGAGCTGCATTTGACACTGTGTAGTTACTTTAGAAAAGCTTCGCCTTCTTACACGCAAAGCACTCCCACTGCTCTTGTTATTGGTACAAATGTATTACAGCATATGATAGAAGGTTCACGAGGCCTATTTACGGGGTACGAAAAAGCACCATAATCAGAGCTATTTAGCAAAGGTGGAAATGAGAGCGACTCTAACCCATAAACCTAAACCATACGCAGGAGCACTAGTAGATTTCACGCAACGAACCGCAGCCAAAAAAAAAAACTCGAAAAAACCGAACTGAAAAGAATTACTATGGGATTAGCAGGGAATGTTTACGAATTCTCGTTATGGGCACCAGCATGAGAGGTCTATGATGCATAGTTCCGGAAGGTACACGCACTTCATCAGAAACGCGGAACCACAAATTAGCAGTGACTCAGGGCTCTCAAGCGCTACCCTCGCGACAAAAAAATTCGAAATTCAGCTTAAACGCAGAAACAAGATCGCCTGTTTTTCATTAGGTGACCATGGTATAGAGGAGGGACAACGAGAGGTGCGAGCATTGGCGTCAGGCGGCGGAAGCCGTAGTGGTGTGTAATTGGCTATGAGTATAAAGCAAAAGATAATTGAGAATTTCTAAAAAAAATTGGCAAAATTGCAGAACTTTTGCCTCAGTCTAACATCAGTTTCTGCCTCGATTACGTTTTATTTGCGCTACATTGAAAAATGGCTCGAACAAGGAACTTCAAAAGAAGTTTTTGGAAGCGAGTGATGGCAGTTGAGATTACATAAGCAAAAAGCTTGGTTGAGCTCAAATTTGTGGACAAAACGGAAGCAAAATGCAGAACAAGCCAAAAGTTTTGAAATTACATAAGTAAAATACTCATAAATTTCTAACGAACCCGTTAGAGACGGCAATCTCCTTAGCACAACTCGATAATGGTCCGACTCTTTTCCATTTCTTAGCTGCCTTGGTCAACTTTTGTGCATTCAGTACGCCGTAACCAAGATATCTTGAGAAAGGAAGTCCTACAATAATCATTTCTGCTATCTAGATTGCAGAACAAGTAATAAATGTAGCTCAAAAACCTACACTGTATTGCTTACCTGCGCCGTTGATGACCCATTGGCTCGGAAAGGCCTTGACCAAGCTCTGCTCGACACTGCTCCGTACGATCAGATGCTGTACGTCTCTCTGTGACAAAAGCGGACTAAAGATGTTGAGTTCAAATGGGGCCAGTTATCTGATTTCAAAAATTACTTTGCTTCGAGCGCGAGAGCTATCACACCGGCCCCAAGAGGAGCTGCTGCAGACGAACCTGAGAAACGCACGCATTTGTTGCCAACATCGGTAGTCACCTAAAGGAACCTTTTGATAAGTTACCAATTACAGTAAAAAAGTCAGGATACCATCCCCGTTGATGCCTCCGTGCCCTCAGTGCCCTCAGTTACGGACGCTAAGACGGCGCTACAGCCTTCTGCATACCATGGAGGAGTTCCTAGTGACGATGCTACACCAAGAGTAATCTATAAGCTTACTCGTCTCAATTAACCATATAAACAGGAATTTGAGGAAAAGGAGGGGTCAC